TGGGATGTCAGCGTCACTGGGATATCAATGTCACTGTGATGTCAGTGACCCTTGGATGTCAGTGTCACTGGGATGTCAGTGTTACTGGGATGTTAGTGTCGCTGGGATGTCAGTGTCACTGGGATGTTAAAATCACTGGTATATCAGTGTCACTGTGATGTCAGTGTCACCGGGATGTTAGTGTCATTGGGATGTTAGTGTCACTCTAATGTTAGTGTCACTGGGATTTTAGTGTCCCTGGGATGTTAGTGTCACTGGGATGTTGTTGTCACTGTGATGTTAGTGTCACTGTCATGTTAGTGTCACGGTGACGTTAGTGTCACTGGGATGTTAGTGTCACTGGGATGTTAGTTTCACTGGGATGTTAGTGCCACTGGGAAGTTAGTGTCACTGTGATGTTAGTGTCACTGGGATGTTGTTGTCACTGTGATGTTAGTGTCACTGCCATGTTAGTGTCCCGGTGATGTTAGTGTCACAGGGATGTTAGTGTCATTGGGATGTTAGTGACACTGGGATGTTAGTACCTTTGTGGTGCTAGTGCCACTGGGATGTTAATGTCCCTCTGATGTTAGAGTCACATCGATGTTAGTGACACTGGTGTGTTAGTGTCTTTGTGATGCTAGTGCCACTGGGATGTTAGTGTCACTGTGAAGTTAGTGTCACTGGGATGTTATTGTCACTGTGATGTTAGTGTCACTGCGATGTTAGTGTCACTGGGATGTTAGTGTCACTTGGATGTTTCTGTCGCTAGGATGTCAGTGTCACTGGGATGATAGAGTCACTGGGATGCTAGTGCCATTGGGATGTCAGTGTCAGTGGGATGTTATTGTCAGTGGGATATGTGTGTCACTGAGATGTTAGTATCACTGGGATGTCAGTGCCACTTGGATATTAGTGTCACCTAGATGTCAGTGGCACTGGGTTGTCTGTGTCACTGGGATTTCTGTGTCACATGGATGTTAGTGGCACCGGTATGCCAGTGTCACTGGGATGTTAGTGTCACTATGTTGTCAGTGTCACTGGGATGTCAGTGTCACTGGGATGTCAGTGTCACTTGGATGTCAGTGTCTCTGGGATGTCAGTGTTACTGGGATGTTAGTGTCACTGGGATGTCAGTATCACTGGGATGTCAGTGTCGCTGGGATGTTAATGCCACTTGTATGTCAGTGTTACTGGATGTCTGTGTCACTGGGATGTCAGTGATCATGCGTTGTCAGTGTCATGGGATGTTGATGTCCACTTGGGGTATGTAGTGCACTGTGATGTCTGTGTCAACGGTTGATGTCACTGTGTCTCTGGGATGTTAGTGTCACTGGATATTAGTGTCACTGGATGTTAGGTCATGTGATGCTAGTTCCTCTGGGATGTTAGTATCACTGTTATGTTAGTGTCACTGGTACGTTAGTGTCACTGTGATGCTAGTGTCACTGGGATGTTAGTGTCACTGTGATGTTAGTGTCACTGGGATGTTAGTGTCACTGGGATGTTAGTGTCACTAGGATATTAGTGTCACTAGGATGTTACTGTCACTGAGATACTAGTGCCATTGTGATGTCATTGTTAGTGGGATATGTGTGTCACTGGGATGTTAGTGTCACTTGGATGCTAGTGTCATTGGGACGTCAGTGTCAGTGGGATGTTAGTGTCAGTGGGATATGTGTGTCACTGTGATGTTAGTGTCAGTTTAATATTGGTGTCACTGGAATGCTGGTATTATGGGGATGTCAATGTCACTGGGATGTGTGTGTGTCACTGGGATGCTAGTTTCACTGTGATGTTAGTGTCACTGGGATGTCAGTGTCACTTGGATTTCAGTGTAACTGGAATGTCAATGTCACTGGTATGTTAGTGTCACTGGGCTGTTAGTTTCACTGGAATGTTAGTCTCATTGGGATGTCAGTGTTATTAGGATATGTGTGTCACTGGGATATGTCTGTCACTGGGGTGCTTGTATCACTGGGATGTTAGTGTCACTGGGATGTCAGTGTCACTGGGATGTTAGTGTCATTGTGTGTCAGTATTACTGTTATGTTAGTGTCACTGGGATGTTAGTTTCACTGGGTTGTCAGTGTCACTGGGATATCAGTGTCACTGGTATGTCAGTGTCACTTGGATGTCAGTGTCACTAGGTTGTTAGTGTCACTGCGTTGTCAGTGTGACTGGGATGTCAGTGTCACTTGGATGTCAGTGGCACTGGGATGTCTGTGTCACTGGGATGTTAGTGTCACTGGGATGTCAGTGTCACTGGGATGTTAGTGTCACTGGGATGTCAATATTACTGGGAAGTTAGTGTCTTTTGCATGTCAGTGTCATTGTGCTCTCAGTGTCACTGGAATGTCAGTGTCACTGGGATGTTAGTGTCACTGGGTTGTTCGTTTCACTGGGATGTTAGTGCCACTGGGATGTTAGTGTCTCTGGGATGTCAGTTTCACTGGGATGTCAGTGTCTCTGGGATGTCAGTGTTAGTTGGATGTCAGTGTCACTGGGATTTCAGTGTCACTTGGATGTCAGTGTTTCTGGGATGTTAATGTCACTGGGATGTTAGTGCCACTGGGATGTTAGTGTCTCTGGGATGTCAGTTTCACTGGGATGTCAGTGTCTCTGGGATGTCAGTGTTAGTTGGAAGTCAGTGTCACTGGGATATTAGTGTCACTGGGATGTCATTGTAACTGGGATGTTAGTTTCACTGGTATATTAGTGTCACTGGGATGTCAGTGTCACTTGGATGTCGGTGTCGCTTTAATGTCAGTGTCACCGGAATGTCAGTGTCACTGGGATGTCAGTGTCTCTGGGATGTCAGTGTCACTTGGATATCAGTGTCACTGGGATGTTAGTGTCACTGGGGTGTCAGTGTCAATGGGATGTCAGTGTCACTGGGATGTCAATGTCACTTGGACGTCAGTTGCACTGGGATGTTAGTGTCACTGGGCTGTTAGTGTCACTGGGATGTCAGTGTCACTTAGATGTTAGTGGCACTAGTCATGTCTGTCTCATTGGGATGTTAGTGTCACTGGGATGTCAGTGTCACTGGGATGTTAGTGTCACTGGGATGTCAGTGTCACTGGGATGTTATGTGTTTCGTGGCCTGGATGTCAGCGTCACTGGGATATTACTGATAGTTCACTGGATGTCAGTGTCACGACTTTCATGGTGTCAGTGTCACTGGGATGTCAGTGTTACTGGGATGTTAGTGTCATTGGGATGTCAGTGTCACTCTAATGTTAGTGTCACTGGGATTTTAGTGTCCCTGGGATGTTAGTGTCACTGGGATGTTGTTGTCACTGTGATGTTAGTGTCACTGTCATGTTAGTGTCACGGTGATGTTAGTGTCACTGGGATGTTAGTGTCACTGGGATGTTAGTTTCACTGGTATGTTAGTGCCTCTGGGAAGTTAGTGTCATTGTGATGTTAGTGTCACTGCGATGTTAGTGTAATTGGGATGTTAGTGACACTGTGATGTTAGTGCCTTTGTGATGCTAGTGCTACTGGGATGTTAATGTCACTGTGATGTTAGAGTCACAGGGATGTTAGTGACACTAGTGTGTTAGTGTCTTTGTGATGCTAGTGCCACTGGGATGTTAGTGTCACTGTGAAGTTAGTGTCACTGGGATGTTATTGTCACTGGGATGTCAGTGTCACTGGGATATTAGTGTCACTGGGATGTCAGTGTCACTGGGATATTAGTGTCACTGGGATATTAGTGTCACTGGGATGTCAGTGTCACTGGGATATTAGTGTCACTGGGATGTCAGTATCAGTGGGATATTAGTGTCACTGGGATATTAGTGTCACTGGGATGTCAGTGTCACTGGGATTAGTGCCTGGTATTAGTGTCACTGGATTGTCAGTGTCACTGGGATGTCAGTGTCACTGGGATGTCAGTGTCACTGGGATATTAGTGTCACTGGGATGTCAGTATCACTGGGATATAAGGGACGGTGCTTACTCTAGCCTTCAGTAACACTTTTTGCCTCGTCTGGTACACAATTTTTTTTTGATCTGTATAAAATAACAACAACGACTCCCATATCCATGTTAACAGATCTTGCTGAATGCTCCTCTAATTTTCTAAATAAAAGTCAATGTTACCTAAAAAATATCAAAGATTGTAAAATAATACCGAATTATGATTCATTCTGTAGTCCAATAATATTTTTATAGGTTAACAAATTGATAATTATATATTTTATGGACTACTCAGTTTTCAATATTGTCAGTAGGTTTTTGAGAGCTGTTTTGAATTTTATTGCTTTTAAGCTGTCCAGTAATTTTTCAACTGTCTGTTATAACAGGAGATGGAGTCTTACACTGGCTAACATGTAATTCTAACTTATTGTTGCTTTCTTAGTATGCCACTAAATTAATTACTTTCCTTTCTCATAAATGTTGAACAAGTAACCCAGAGAGACTGTAAACCGTAATTAGCTGTAAATTAGACCATTTTAAACTTTAAAGTAGTTCTAAGCTTTTGTAATCCTACCTAAACTGATTTAAAAATTACCCCTTTGTCCCTAAATAATCCATAAGTGTATGTCTGAAATCCTATATAGTGGAACCAAAAATTCTGGCTGATGATGTAGTCTTCTGAGAACTATAATAAGCTAAAAACAAGAATCATGTGATACCTCATGAGCCGAGACAGAGAGGGTCTCTCAATGTTACTTGGTCGATATCCCACTACCGAACAGGAACACCTTGGGAAAATCTTGTGTGACTGCATGTGATGCCAACTGTGTGCGTGTAAGGATACTCTTGTCTTACCGCAGAATATTTCCCTCTCTTAAGTTTTCATGATAAACAGCTATAAAAATTAACACCTCTTCATCTGTCTGTGATTGTCACTTGTGACAAATGTTGTTAGCTCTTCTCTTTTGTCTTTCTTCTTTTTATCCACCTTTCTTTTATCACCTTGTATTCTGTCCTCCTCTTGCATTTCCTGTCTTCCTGCGGGCTTGTCCTGCTCCCACTTTCATTGACTTGACATGACTGGTCCGTGTCAGGTACGTGGCTGCCAACTCCAAGCGCTCCAGCTTCACTCTGATAATTCCGAGTGATGGGTGCGGCTCGTCCACGTCTCAGTTCAACAGCGGCAGTTCTAAAGGCAAGAGCAGTGAGACAAGTACACGAATGACCAACACGATCATCGTCCAAAACGACCCCGACGTGCAAGAAGTGTGGGATGTCGCTCGCACTATCAAGTGTGACTGGGTAGATAACTTCCTCAAGACTGTAGCATTTAATCCATTCTCCGTTGGAATGCTAGACGCCCAGGAAGCTCGCTTTGAGGGCGACCAGGCCATCGAGTGTTGGATGGACTTGAAACAGGGACAGTGGCCTAACACAAACGACATTGACTCTATAGTTAAGATCGGTGATACACTTTCCTTACTAGTATATGCTCGTGACAACGCTGGCATGTTTGACGTGAGCGTTAAGGATTGCTATGCTTACGGAAGTCCTGATTTTGACAGTATAAACACACCGCGCATCCAACTGACTGACGAAGAAGGCTGTGTCCTGAAGGAGAAACTCATCAGTCCCTTCTACAGCTCGCGCCAGCAGGACAACAGTGGACAAGTTATTGTTACCTATGCTTTCATACAGGCTTTTAAATTTCCTGATGTCATGGATGTATTTATGTCTTGCAATGTAGAAATCTGTAAAGGAGAGTGTGATAACGTGTGCGGCTCTACAACATCTACAGAAACTCCCTACCGGAGAGGCAGTACATTGTATGGCGAAGCTATAACTACTCTACCCACTGTTACCAAACCTATATGTTATCCTGGCTCCGAAGACCCGAGGTGCATTACTCATACCATTCCTCCATCTACTCTCCCAACAACTTCAAAATGTATTATAGGCTCGACAGATCCAGAATGTCAGATACACATCCCTTCACAGAATAGACCGTCAGCATTCGTCTGCGATTTGCAAAATAAAGATCCTCGCTGTTTGAACCCTTTAACTATTGAGCCTGATACCCCAGCCCCACCCAAGTGTTACCCAGGGTCCCCTGACCCACGATGTGCCCAACCCACTACTCCAGCCCCACCCAAGTGTTACCCAGGGTCCCCTGACCCACGATGTGCCCAACCCACTACTCCAGCCCCACCCAAGTGTTACCCAGGGTCCCCTGACCCACGATGTGCCCAACCCACTACTCCAGCCCCACCCAAGTGTTACCCTGGGTCCCCTGACCCACGATGTGCCCAATCCACTACTCCAGCCCCACCCAAGTGTTACCCTGGGTCCCCAGACCCACGATGTGCCCAACCCACCACCAAAGCCCCACTTAAATGTTACCCTGGGTCTCCTGACCCACGATGTGACCAGCCCACTACTCCAGCCCCACCCAAATGTTACCCTGGGTCCCCTGACCCAGGATGTGCCCAGCCCACTACCCAAGCCCCACCCAAGTGTTATCCTGGGTCCCCTGACCCACGATGTGCCCAGCCCACTACTCCAGCCCCACCCAAGTGTTATCCTGGGTCCCCTGACCCACGATGTGCCCAGCCCACTACCCAAGCCCCACCCAAGTGTTACCCTGGGTCCCCTGACCCACGATGTGCCCAACCCACTACCCAAGCCCCACCCAAGTGTTACCCTGGGTCCCCTGACCCACGATGTGCCCAGCCCACTACTCCAGCCCCACCCAAGTGTTATCCTGGGTCCCCTGACCCACGATGTGCCCAGCCCACTACCCAAGCCCAACCAAAGTGTTACCCAGGGTCCCCTGACCCACGATGTGCCCAACCCACTACCCAAGCCCCACCCAAGTGTTACCCTGGGTCCCCTGACCCACGATGTGCCCAGCCAACTACCCCAGCCCCACCCAAGTGTTACCCTGGGTCCCCTGACCCAGGATGTGCCCAGCCCACTGCCCCAGCCCCACCCAAGTGTTACCCTGGGTCCCCTGACCCACGATGTGCCCAACCATCTACCCCAGCCCCACCCAAGTGTTACCCTGGGTCCCCTGACCCGAGATGTGCCCAACCATCTACCCCAGCCCCACCCAAGTGTTACCCTGGGTCCCCTGACCCACGATGTGCCAAACCCACTCCCCCAGCCCCACCCAAGTGTTACCCTGGGTCCCCTGACCCACGATGTGCCCAGCCCACTACCCCAGCCCCACCCAAGTGTTACCCTGGGTCCCCTGACCCACGATGTGCCCAACCATCTACCCCAGCCCCACCCAAGTGTTACCCTGGGTCCCCTGACCCAAGATGTGCCCAACCATCTACCCCAGCCCCACCCAAGTGTTACCCTGGGTCCCCTGACCCACGATGTGTCAAACCCACTCCCCCAGCCCCACCCAAGTGTTACCCTGGGTCCCCTGATCCACGATGTGCCCAACCCACTACCCCAGCACCACCAAAGTGTTACCCTGGGTCTCCTGACCCACGATGTGTCAAACCCACTACTATAGCTCCTCCCAAATGCTATCCAGGGTCTCCTGACCCACGATGTGCCCAACCCACTACCCCAGCCCCATCCAAGTGTTACCCTGGGTCTCCTGACCCACGATGTGCCCAACCCACTACTCCAGCACCACCAAAGTGTTACCCTGGGTCTCCTGACCCACGATGTGCCCAACCCACTACTCCAGCCCCACCCAAATGTTACCCTGGGTCTCCTGACCCACGATGTGCCCAACCCATCACTCCAGCCCCACCCAAATGTTATCCTGGGTCTCCTGACCCACGATGTACCCAACCCACTACTCCAGCCCCACCCAAATGTTACCCTGGGTCTCTTGACCCACGATGTGCTCAACCCACTACTCCAACCCCACCCAAATGTTATCCTGGGTCTCCTGACCCACGATGTGCCCAACCCACTACTCCAGCACCTATTTGCTATGAAGGGTCTCCTGATCCTCGCTGCCCTCAAAGGCCGTTCGGAAGCACGTTGTTTCCAGAGAACACTGTTACCCCTGGTCCAACCCCTGGTCCAACCCCTGGTCCAACCCCTGGCCCAACCCCTGGTCCAACCCCTGGTCCAACCCCTGGTCCAACCCCTGGTTCAACCCCTGGTCCAACCTCTAGGCCAACCTCTCGTCCAACCTCTAGACCAACATATAGGCCAACCTTTAAGCCAACGTCTAGGCCAACCTCTCTTCCAGCCTCTAGACCAACATCTAGGCCAACCTTTAGGCCAACGTCTAGGCCAACCTCTCTTCCAACCTCTAGGCCATCTTCTAGACCAACATCTAGGCCAACCTCTAGACCAAAATCTCGACCAACCTCTACACCAACGTCTAGGCCAACCTTTAGACCAACATCTAGGCCAACTTCTAGACCTGATACTGGGCCAACTACTAAGCTACCTCCATGGACTCCTAAGCCAAAGCCTCCACAGTTCCCTCCAGACGTTACAGGTCAAGGTCAAGCTCTGTTTCCCGTGACGCTCACTACTCCAAAAACAACTACCCGGGCCTCTTTTACTAGCGGTTCCCCATTCCAGCAGAGTACTGTACCTCCGAGACCCACTGTTCCATTCCCCATCACTCAAACCCAAGTCTCCTTTTGTAGAGCCAAAGAAAGGTAAACAGATTGATGCAACTGAGGGGCAGCCTAAGCCTGAGCCATCTGGAAAGGAATGGGAGGGCGAATCTCGTTACCACGCTTTCCATAGCTTCCATTTCCAGCGCGGCGATGGAAGGCGAAATCGTATCTTTGGTGCTCGCCTGCCCAGAGAGGCTGAAGACACCCTTTCAGAGTTGAGGTCTGTTAGCTCTTCCGATGTGAGAACGCTGAATAAAAAACCACTTAACGAAAAGGTGTACATACGTTTGTCTCGATCTGTCTCTGTTGCAGCACCTAGCGATCTGCCCCTCACTCAGAGTTCGGTTCCAATTGCTGCTGCACAAACAGCTGTGGCCTCTGTTTACAATGATTCTTTTGGTACAGTATGCTTTCCCATGTCAGTCTTTGCTCTCACCATGTTAGCCCTACTTTTTCTTCTCCTTTTAGCCTCCACCGCAGCTATTGTCTTTTACATTCGTCAGCGAGGATCTTGCAAAGACAATATTTGGACCGGCTACTAGTCTTATGTTATTCTCCGCATCTTTTTCTCACCCTATATTACAAAGGTACACATTAATGCACCCAACAAGTGCTTGATACACATAATGTGATTCCGTGACAATGTTCCTCTCACTTATTCTGAAATTCAGAGAAAATTTTCATTATTTGCCTCTCAAGCATAGCATTACAATTGTACATAATCTGACTAGTCCAAAGCCTTTGTAAGATATCGGAGTGAATTACTGTAGAGTTTCATTGATCAAAAAACTCGTTTACCTAGTATATATTTTTTTTTTGAAGTTCACACTACAAGTTTTGTTAACATGATATTGCCCTGGCGGTAAATACTGTTTCGTGAACTCAGATATATAGGTTCATGGTTAATTTGATATTCCTTTATATTTTAAGAAGCATGCAAGTCAATGCTAGTTTTGTTATCACACTCTCTGTCGCCTCTCTAAATAGCTTTGTTTACGTTATGGTAATCTTAATGTATGATAATTTGATTAGAGTTCTATATATTTATTTCTTTATATGTAATGTAACTATGATATGTCTGTATGACTGCTGGTGACAAACTCTTGCTTGGTTCCAAGGCAACCACCCAGACCAACCACATGACACATACGGTGACCTTCTTCTAACTCTATCATTTAACGTTGAGTCAACGCGCCACAGGTGAGTTTATTCGATCTATTTTAAACTGATATATATATATATATATATATATATATATATATATATATATATATATATATATATATATTATATATATATATATATATATATATATATATATATATATATATATATATATATATATATATATATATATATATATATAATAGACAGAACACAAGCGATAAGACATGATCTTCCAAAGTACTGAAAGACGATGTTTTGATTATGTTTACTTGATTAGCTACGTCAGTGCCAACTTGGGACAGACTTCGTACACCTTTGTGATACCCATGACGGGCTGTGGCACCAGGACCTTCGATAACGACAACGTGGGTAGCACGGGCTTCCAGAACATAATCATGATCCAGAACGAAGAGTTCGTGCAGGAACTATGGGACACAGCTCGCAAAATAAGCTGCGACTGGACGACACGAATGGAAAAACTTATAACCTTCCGCCCCTTTACCGTGGACATGCTGCAAGCTAAGGAAGTACGATATTCAGGCGATGACATTATGTGCTGGATGGATATTCAACTAGGCAAGGGACCATTCTCTAATACTCTCGACGGCATCGTAAAGATTGGTGAAGAACTTGCTATTGTAATATACTCAAAAGATGGCGGCTCGGAATTTGATATGCTGGTCAAGAACTGCTTTGCTTATGACTCTGAGGATCTGGAAGAAGAAAGTACGACGAGTCTTCAGCTGAGTGATGAAAAAGGATGTCCTCTTAAGCCCAAACTGATGAGTTCATTCATTCATACTAGGAACACTGGCACGACAGGAGCCGATATAATCGCCTACGCATCACTGTACGCTTTTAAGTTCCCTGACAAGATGGAAGTATATTTATCTTGTGAAGTGGAGTTATGCAAGGGTAAGTGTACAAATATATGTGGGGAAGAAACAATCACTGTACCTCGTACTGAGTCAACGAGCACTACCACTTTCTCACCCCCACCGGTTCATCCCTGTCTAAGACAGCCTGGCTCGTCCCAGTGTTGTGAAATAAGCCCTCAACACACATCCTGTACAACTACCTCCACTACAACAACTACAGGGAGACCTGATCCTTGTATCAGGAGTCCTGGCTCCTTCAAGTGCTGTGCACAGAATCCTAATCATCCACAGTGTACAACAACAACAACAACAACAACTACAGGGAGACCTGATCCTTGTATCAGGAGTCCTGGCTCCTTCAAGTGCTGTGCCCAGAATCCTAATCATCCACAGTGTACAACAACAACAACAACAACTACAGGAAGACCTGATCCTTGTATCAGGAGTCCTGGCTCCTTCCAGTGCTGTGCCCAGAATCCGAATCATCCACAGTGTACAACAACAACAACAACTACAGTAAGACCAGATCCTTGTATCAGGAGTCCTGGTTCTTATCAGTGCTGTGCCCAGAATCCTAATCATCCACGGTGTACAACAACAACAACAACAACTACAGTAAGACCAGATCCTTGTATCAGGAGTCCTGGTTCTTATCAGTGCTGTGCCCAGAATCCTAATCATCCACAGTGTACAACAACAACAACAACTACAACAACCACTACAGGGAGACCAGATCCTTGTATCAGGAGTCCTGGCTCCTTCCAGTGCTGTGCCCAGAATCCTAATCATCCACAGTGTACAACAACAACAACAACAACAACAACAACAACAACAACAACAACAACAACAACTACAGTAAGACCAGATCCTTGTATCAGGAGTCCTGGTTCTTATCAGTGCTGTGCCCAGAATCCTAATCATCCACAGTGTACAACTACAACAACAACTACAGGTAGGCCAGATCCTTGTATCAGGAGTCCTGGTTCTTATCAGTGCTGTGCCCAGAATCCTAATCATCCACAGTGTACAACACAACAACAACTACAGGTAGACCAGATCCTTGTATCAGGAGTCCTGGTTCTTATCAGTGCTGTGCCCAGAATCCTAATCATCCACAGTGTACAACTACAACAACAACTACAGGTAGACCAGATCCTTGTATCAGGAGTCCTGGTTCTTATCAGTGCTGTGCCCAGAATCCTAATCATCCACAGTGTACAACAACAACAACAACTACAGTAAGACCAGATCCTTGTATCAGGAGTCCTGGTTCTTATCAGTGCTGTGCCCAGAATCCTAATCATCCACAGTGTACAACAACAACAACAACAACTACAGGTAAGACCAGATCCTTGTATCAGGAGTCCTGGCTCCTTCCAGTGCTGTGCCCAGAATCCTAATCATCCACAGTGTACAACTACAACAACAACTACAGGTAGACCAGATCCTTGTATCAGGAGTCCTGGTTCTTATCAGTGCTGTGCCCAGAATCCTAATCATCCACAGTGTACAACTACAACAACAACACTACAGGTAGACCAGATCCTTGTATCAGGAGTCCTGGTTCTTATCAGTGCTGTGCCCAGAATCCTAATCATCCACAGTGTACAACTACAACAACAACTACAGTAAGACCAGATCCTTGTATCAGGAGTCCTGGTTCTTATCAGTGCTGTGCCCAGAATCCTAATCATCCACAGTGTACAACAACAACAACAACAACTACAGGAAGACCTGATCCTTGTATCAGGAGTCCTGGCTCCTTCCAGTGCTGTGCCCAGAATCCTAATCATCCACAGTGTACAACAACAACAACAACAACTACAGTAAGACCAGATCCTTGTATCAGGAGTCCTGGTTCCTTCCAATGCTGTGCCCAGAATCCTAATCATCCACAGTGTACAACAACAACAACAACTACAGTAAGACCAGATCCTTGTATCAGGAGTCCTGGTTCTTATCAGTGCTGTGCCCAGAATCCTAATCATCCACAGTGTACAACAACAACAACAACAACTACAGTAAGACCAGATCCTTGTATCAGGAGTCCTGGTTCTTATCAGTGCTGTGCCCAGAATCCTAATCATCCACAGTGTACTACAACAACAACAACAACAACTACAGGAAGACCAGATCCTTGTATCAGGAGTCCTGGCTCCTTCCAGTGCTGTGCCCAGAATCCTAATCATCCACAGTGTACAACAACAACAACAACAACTACAGTAAGACCAGATCCTTGTATCAGGAGTCCTGGTTCTTATCAGTGCTGTGCCCAGAATCCTAATCATCCACAGTGTACAACAACAACAACAACAACAACTACAGTAAGACCAGATCCTTGTATCAGGAGTCCTGGTTCTTATCAGTGCTGTGCCCAGAATCCTAATCATCCACAGTGTACAACAACAACAACAACAACTACAGGAAGACCTGATCCTTGTATCAGGAGTCCTGGCTCCTTCCAGTGCTGTGCCCAGAATCCTAATCATCCACAGTGTACAACAACAACAACAACTACAGTAAGACCAGATCCTTGTATCAGGAGTCCTGGTTCTTATCAGTGCTGTGCCCAGAATCCTAATCATCCACAGTGTACAACAACAACAACAACTACAGTAAGACCAGATCCTTGTATCAGGAGTCCTGGCTCCTTCCAGTGCTGTGCCCAGAATCCTAATCATCCACAGTGTACAACACAACACAACAACTACAGTAGACCAGATCCTTGTATCAGGAGTCCTGGCTCCTTCCAGTGCTGTGCCCAGAATCCTAATCATCCACAGTGTACAACAACAACAACAACTACAGGTAGACCAGATCCTTGTATCAGAAGTCCTGGTTCTTATCAGTGTTGTGCCCAGAATCCTAATCATCCACAGTGTACAACTACAACAACAACTACACGTAGACCAGATCCTTGTATCAGGAGTCCTGGTTCTTATCAGTGCTGTGCCCAGAATCCTAATCATCCACAGTGTACTACAACATCAACAACAACAACTACAGGAAGACCAGATCCTTGTATCAGGAGTCCTGGCTCCTTCCAATGCTGTGCCCAGAATCCTAATCATCCACAGTGTACAACTACAACAACAACTACAGGTAGACCAGATCCTTGTATCAGGAGTCCTGGTTCTTATCAGTGTTGTGCCCAGAATCCTAATTATCCACAGTGTACAACAACAACAACTACTGGAAGACCAGATCCTTGTATCAGGAGTCCTGGCTCCTTCCAATGCTGTACCCAGAATCCTAATCATCCACAGTGTACAACAACAACTACAGGAAGGCCAGATCCTTGTATCAGAAGTCCTGGCTCCTTTCAGTGCTGTGCCCAGAATCCTAATCATCCACAGTGTACAACAACAACAACAACAACAACAAAACCAGATCCTTGTATCAGGAGTCCAGGTTCTTATCAGTGCTGTGCACAAAATCCTAAGCATCCAAAATGTACAACAACAACAACTACAATAAGGCCTGATCCTTGTATCAGGAGTCCTGGTTCCTTCCAATGCTGTGCCAAGAATCCTAATCACCCACAGTGTACAACTACAACAACTACAGCAAGACCTGATCCTTGTATCAGGAGTCCTGGTTCCTTCCAATGCTGTGCCAAGAATCCTAATCATCCACACTGTACAACTACAACAACCACAGCAAGACCTGATCCTTGTATCAGGAGGCCTGGGTCTTCTGAATGTTGCGCTATAAACCCTAACCATGAACTCTGTGTGACCGAGATTCCTTGCACTGACCCTCGTGATCCCAGACAACAGTGTAAGACCACTACACAACGACCTACTACAACACCCAACCTAGAGTTTCATGCCTTCCATGCCTGGTTGAATCGTCCTCCTAGTGGTATTCGTCGTCGTCGTCCTCCTTACGGTACTCGGCTGAGTCCTGAGGTATTGGCGGAACTCAAAAATAAGCCTCGACGCCGGCGTGATTTGACCCTACCCCTTCCTCCTCCACCTGTGAAAAACACGGTTGCAATGATGCGAGGATTTCGTGTTGTGGCTGCTAATGACTTAACATTCCTGACTCTTCCCGAGTCTCGGTATTCCGCCTTACAAATGGACAAGTTATGTATTGAGAAGGGAACTTTCACTATAGGTCTTACTAGTACTCTCATTGTTGCTCATAACTGCAGTGCTGGTGGCTACTTTTACTTGCCTTAGGTTAAGATCCCTGGCGCCCTGCAAGTCCTTGGGGCACAGGACTCTTATTATAAACGGTAAACGACTTGACCTGACGTCTCCTTCCTGGCTGCTGGATTCAGCCGAGGGCGGGGTGAACTATCATTCTTCGGCGAGCTCTGTCCGCCTCGCTGCTGCTGCTGTCACTCTCCTGGTGGGCTAAAGTTGCCACCTTCTCCGCGTCCTGTGCAGGTCATGGGGCCGACCACCTTCGCTGTGCCATCATTTCTCAAAACCACCACCATCTCACAACGGCCTCCACATGGGCAACAGATATGAACAGTACTGTTGATAACCAGTTGCTTCAATTACTTAATGCAACCGATTGCTGTTTTTTTCTACCTACTACGATGTCTTTATTTGAGAATATTGCTAGCTCCTTACTGTATTACGGTTCTTGAAGGCTGACTTGTCAAGTGCATGAACCATCTCCATCATGTCAACACTGCTGCAACACCACTGTGTGACTCACTCTCCTCACTATGTGGTTCTGATGCTGCCTTTCCTCCAAGCCTCTTTGTTTTGCCTTGTACAAGCATCGCAATTTCTGCTATTGTAAACTT